TCACTCAAATGTGTTTTGTAATCATCAAAATCATAGGTACAACAATCTCCCCCTTTTTGATGATGACAAAACACTTTGAGAATTAATTAATGAAAGCACATAAATACTTCAATATTAACCAGAATTTCAACACAAGGTACTCTAGAAAATGACATTAAATTCAGCATATTCTCTCCCCCTTTTTGTCATTCATCAAAAAGCACATAATCAACAAACTCCCCCTTAATTCATGCACATCAATCTTTAAGGCATTTAAGCATGATAACCATTAAGAAAAGTAATATTTAAGCACAAAATGCTCCCCCTTAATTCATGCTATCAACCTTTAAAGCATCAAGAAAATGTAATGAATATGATTATCAATCATCATCAATATAGCACCATAGACAAGCAAAGTCATGAATACAATCATCAACCAATAAACTCCCCCTCAATAAGAGCATATTATCATCAAAATCATAAACAACCATTCACAAAGCATGTTAACACAAGTGATGTCATTTCCATTCATAAAATAAGATAACAAGGTTCAAGACATATCCATAGACAAATAAAACATAACATGCATAACCCTAAGATGTCCATTCTAAAGATTAGCCAAACTAAAGAAATATCAAGTCAGTTGGCATCAGGTGGGGGTGGAGGAAAAAAATGGTTAATAAGCTGATCAAGCTTTCCTCTCATTTCTGTCCGGAAACCATAAAAGTCGGTGTGCAGCTGCTGCATTTCAGATATCATTAACTCCATGGTTTCACGGTTTGTCCTTTGCATGGAGACTCGAAATGGTCTTGGGCTGTCATCTTCATGATCTTCTGCCCCTTGTTCTGCCATTTCTTGATCTGTATCACCTTCTTCTTCATCCCCTTCTTGTTCCCCTTTCTTTATCCAAGTGCCATTTCTAAACAAACAGTCCATTTTCTCAAAAGAAGCTTTGGTAAGTGTAGTCCCACTTTGAACCTTTCCAAGCATAAAGGGTGTAAGATCAACATTGTTCCTCTTCACCAATCTAGTAATTAAAGCACCATGAGGAAGACCCATGTTTGATGAATAAGTCTTGATTAGATTCCGGTAAATGAATCTTCCAAGGTTCAACCTCTTCCTTTTGAGAAGATAATCAAACCATAAGAGATCACCACTAAGTACAACAGATTTGGAACCCTTTCTCTGAGCAAGAACGCGACTAATAATCCACTGCAATGCTCTGTGTTCTGGTGTAAGAAATCCCACATTAATTTGTCCAGCAGTACAATTTGGGGCAATTGTGGCTCTAACTTCAGAAATATTTACACCTTCAAACTGATCATCTCCTCCTTCAGGTATTTCTAATGTAGCACAAATTTCTCTTGGTGAAAACTGAAATGATATCCCAGAAACCATAGTTTTGCATTTATTTCCTCTTGGTTTCAAATTAGCATAAAATTGATGAACAACTTCGTAGTACACATGCTCCTTAATTTCTACATAATTCTTCCACTCAATATCTCTAAATATCTGTTCAACAAGCATATCTCCTTGAGGAAATTGACTAAACTTCACACAATTGCAGGGTAGCACAGCCAAGTTTTTGACAAAATTATAGCGATTAATGGCATCATCATCCACAAACAGAGCATTATCAACGAGGTTACCTTCCTCTTGTGCCTGGCCACCGGCACTAGAACTCCCAATCTGTTTCCTCTTGCTTCCGCCCCTTCTTGAAGCCATGAGAGAAATCCCAACAAAAATACCAGCCACACCAAAAATACAGCAGATCCCACACAAATTGAAGTGAAAAGCTTGAGATTTTGTGTTGGGTAGACAAGGATTTGATGGTTTTTGAGTGTTTAAGGGATGGGTTTTGGAGATTTGGAGGGATTTGGGTGTTTGGGAGAGTGAATGGCGAGTTTTGGGAGAGAAAAAATGGCAGATCTGGTTTGAAGATAGAGAAGCCCGAAAGTTAAAAACCTGCAGGAGAGCCGGCTATAATTTCAGAGCCGGCTGTAAAGCTGGTCCGGGTCGGGTTGCCTGCGGTTGAGCCGGCTTGGGAACTTAGAGCCGGCTGTGGTTTAGAGAGAGAAGACTCTCGGCTTTTTGGGGTTGAGCCGGCTGTAAACCTAGAGCCGGCTGTGGTCTAGAGAGAGAACACTCTCGGGTTTTTGGTTGAGCCGGCTGTGGAAAGGGTAGAGCCGGCTCTACTGGGCTTGATTGGAACAAACAGAAAGTTTGGGGCTGTTTTGAAGGAAATGCACCTTAATTGATATTTCTTCATTTAACTAAGTTTAAATTGGACATCAACTACTAGATAATGTAACTTTAGTCATAAATCAATGAATGCATTATCAAATATCATGAATATAATCAAGGTACACATATCAATATGCACAATTTCTAATAATCAAATTCATTAATTTCAAGAATCATATCAAGCACTAGGATCCAACATGCCAAGCTCATTAATTTGCATAAATTTTAATAATCATATCAAATGATATCATATTCAACAAGCATATATATCAAAGAGTGAACACATATAAACAAATTGAAGTAATTATACTCAATGAATAAATACAATAAAATAAATAATACCAATTTGAGCACATGAGTGGAGCATTCAAAAACAAATTTCCTTTGCACTTCCAC